AAGAGACTGAATTTTTGATCTGAGACTGTTTTCTTCTCTTTCAGTGGTGAGTTCGGGCTTTGGCTGGACGGGGATCTTTATCACGGCAGGAGTCATTCATGCAAAACCTTCGGGAATCCCATGCTCTCCATGAAGGAGGATTTCTTCGTGCAGGATATTGAGATCTGGTCGTTCGAGTAGCAGCTCACACAGAGGTACCTTTTTGTCGTTAGTTGGAGAGAGGAATTGGACACGAGGCAGATCCCAAACCTTACTGCACATCACCGCGGCTCCCAGGAAGCCCGTAACGGACGCTACTGTTACCGCGCTTGTCGTATGTTACTCCTGCATTTAATACAGAGCTCTTCTTTGTGCTGTTTAGTATGTGTTTTGTTCAAGCTGTGTGCAGCGTCAATAACCAACAGGACCCCCCGAGCACTTTTAACATCGAGTGGAGATGATGATGATGATGATGGTGGTGGCGGCATGGGGTTTGGGCTGCCCGAGAACTGCCATTGTCCAGTTTACCTGAGCCAAAGCGCCAGGAGTTTGTATGTTAGCCGATAGGATGTCACTACTGGATCGATGGAGATTTTAAAAAAACAACTACGGGAAAAGAAAAGCAAACTACTGAAAACACATTCCCTTGCTCTCAGAGGAAGATTATGCATTTTTGGGACGTCGACGGACGGCGGTGGCGTCCGGGAGAAGACGAGAACGCATCCGTAGTTTCTTTTGAGGCGAAATATTCAAGTGTCGTGAAACTCGTAGTCTTTCTGTCGTTCACTATCATAGCACACCATGTCGAAGCACATAATCGGGAACCCCATAGTCGTAATGCTCTGTTCAGTGGGTTTTACGTGTGAGTGTGGCTAACATCGGCCCCTTCGCTTCGGAAGGGTCGACTTTTACTGTTCGTAGGCAGAAATGTGTCGCAATAGATTTGTGGAATATGCAAATTCCTGTCCTGTGACCTCAAATAATCCAGACGGGGCACTTTTGTTTTCCCCGTTTCTCTTTCCGAGAGACCTTTTTACGTCTTGAAGATTAATTGCTTTTCTGGGTATCATTTGAAAAACCTGAGACGTGGTTTAATTGTTTTTCATGAATATAATGACAATACTATATTTATGTATATGGTTATATATATAAATTCATATATATATATAATATACAAATATATATATAATGATATATATATTGCTGTTAAGTGTGACAGTGATCTTTTTTTGTGCTGATATCTCAGCTGTTACTAATATATTGTATATTACCCTGTAAATTCATGTTAAAATAGTAGATTTGTTCCTATATATATATATACATATATAATTTAATATACAGTGTGTAGATTGGTGG